AAGTTAAAACCAGGGAAGGTGGCTAGAATTCAACATGCAGACTTTGTGAGAAAAACTGAAAAGTAAGAACTTTCAGAAAACGAATGTTATAACCCAGGCCGTTCTTCCAACAAGTTTTCTCACATTACTTCTGAACTCCCCAGAACCAGTGTATTAGGAATAAACAGTGGGACAGAACTTCATGAATATCCCTCATTAAACTAACAGTGGGTCACTCAGAAAGGTAAAGATGAAAAGTAGTAGATAAAAAGAAAAATCAATCCCTGTATGTGTCCTGTGTAAATATGGCATCAAATTATAGATGAGCCCATTAATTGAGGGCAAAGCATTTACCAATGCATTGATGGATCTTTCAAAAACATCGCTCCTGGAGAAGAGAGAATACATGCAAAGTCAGTCAATATGTTATGTGACATTTAACTTTTATGTTCAGATTGTTGCACTTGCTGACACTGATGGAACTTTCTAAAACACCCCAACCAAAAAGGGTATTCCATTCTATTTAACTTCTCATATTTCATCTAATTGAAATTAAATCAACATCTGCAGTAATGACTTCACTTAACTTGCAGTAGTTATTTTCCGGACGAGTAAATGTGCCAGTCTGTGGTAAATCTGTCACTGTCACTGTCCAATCCATCAGTTTTGTGCTGGTTAAAACCAAATCTTGGCTTGCAGTGATTTTTGGCTATTTCAGTTGTATAACTGCCATTTTCTTGGACCTGAAGGCCAATTTTTGGCAGCCACTGAAGTCACCCTTGTTGTGATTGTAATTGTTCTCTAAATAAAAAAAAAACATTCTAAAAAAAACAGAATAATAAATTTGTACCTGGTTTTGTGAACCTGACTTTGGGATATTGTAAGAGTGTTTTATTATTATTATTATTATTATTATTATTATTATTATTTATTGCAGTTCAAGTACATTTTTTATAATGACTATGACCTAACAGTATATATTATATAATCATATAACTAAAATTACAATAGTAAATTACAATATTGTTTATACAATAACTGTGATCAGATTTTACAGTTGCAGTATACGCTCAGTTACTTTGGTTGACTAGGTGGTGGTTGGTTGAGAATATTTTTTCTTTCCTTATTACACATTGTGATATAGTGGGCCACATTCTTTATAACATCTAAATTGTTTGACTGCATTGTGCATTTGAACTGGCCCTCTTATTTTTATAAAAGATTGGCAAACGCTGTTTTTGACAACTTGACATACCTACATGGACTATCGATACAAACAATTGTTAAAATCATTGTCCAGGCAGTTGTAAATTAGTGAAAATAGCGCGGTCCTGGTTGTCTATAGAAGCACCCTTTTCAATAATTCGGGCAATGCAATTTGGCTTGAATTTTAAGCAGTCTTTGCCAAAACTTCTTTTCAGCTTTAGCCATTTCATGAAACAGGTGACCCTGCTGTACAAGTAGCTCTGCCAGTCCTACCACCCCCTACTGCCACATAATACAGCTGTTCACACTTCTCTACACACCCTGTAATCAGCCGGCTCCAGCAATTAGCAGCGTCTGTCTGATAACTAATTTAAACTTGGCTATAATCCAGTGGGAACAGCCAGGGCCAGGTTTATGACAGAGATGAAAAGATTGATAGATCAAGTTATGCTCTTTGATCCAAGGCCCATGCAAAGGAATTAAGATGTAGAAATAGAAGTCCTATTGTGATGCTGCTACAAGGTATAGGGTGTTATGTACAAACTGTGTGTATTTCCTTCTCGAATGTAATTACTACATCTGTTTATCAGTGTTTCATAATTAGTGGAATGTGGCTTGCTTTTTTTTCAAGCTGCAGGTGAGCTATCTCAGCTAGTACAGAGGGAGTGAGCAAATCTAGCTCACATTTGAAAGATGGATTAAATGATAAACTGATCATTGTCATCTCACCTTTTTAGCACTAGTAGTATTGGGTGATGTGACAGTGGTTCATTTTTCAGCTGTTCCTAAAACAAGGCTTTTTATGATTTTTATTCTTTGAACACTTATGCAAAGAACACCTGCTTTAATATTAGTAAATATTCAAAATAAATATCGTAAAAATAGATCATTATATGTTGTCACATTTATCAGCTCTCTAAACCATTTTATATGGGGGGGGGAGGAACTAAGAGGAAAAAAATAGAATAAAAGAATTGGATATTAAAATATTTTTAAAAATGATGAGTAAGTTTATGATGAAACAGTTTTGTCAGTGTTGTCAAGTTCATATTAGGTACACTAAATTACATTCCTACCGAATCCTACGTATAAGTCATGGTCAAATGACATGAGAGCAGGTATCACTGTCATCATAACTTAGCATTCCACAGGGGACAGTGGCCGCATTCAAGACA